CGCTCCCAACAAAATGAGAAAGCATTGAGAGAGCGGGAATTGATGGACGCCGGGCTTAGATTAGTTTCCCCCGTCCCTTGGGAACCGAAGCCATTCTGCGTGTAAAACCATAAAGCCAAAGTTGTAAACGATAGTGACCTAGATGATTGATCAGAGCAGAGAGCTGTGCACGAGAGTGCACTCTATAGGTTGTCGCATGGCTCATAGCTATACGAGAACTCACACCGATTACCAACCGAGTGGATCCTGGTGGCTATGAAATATATAATTAAGCATAATTATATTATTTGCAGCAACAAGGGGACTACAAAGAGAAGGAGCGAAAATTAAAGAGCGATGGGCATATAGCGTGCGATATAGTGAGCGAGAGTTAAGAGACGATGGAAGGAGGGAACGAAATAGGTAGAATAGAAATGGAAACGTGATAGACATAGCGTGTTAGGTGTGCATTCATTGGGAGAAACGTGTGGTAGGAAGCGAAACAAGAATATACGGAGGGGGGGGGTCGAGAGAGCGAGACAGAACGCGGGGTGAAGCAAATGTAGCGGAAACCATGCTACTACTGCTGCCGCGACAAGGCTCTTGCACATGTTTTGCTAAAGACATGCACGGTAGATGCACGCATGCGGCTGTGTAGGCGCATCACGCCTAGTTTTCTTCATCCCAAGAATCCCTCGGAGGGATTCATAATTTATTGATAATCAATTTCGCCGATGAGCGTCCTGCGAGAAGGTCAGGCGTATACGCCAGTCTTCTCTTCGATTTCCCCCGCTGACCGCATACTACCGCACTATGCTGCTATTATTTCATACTTCAGGAAAGTCTGTGTGACAAACAACTCTCATTCTCCCTCTCTCTGTGCATGCGTCACTCGGAAAGAAATTCACTGGGTCCGAGCCGCGATAAACCCGACAGAGAAATTAGAATCTCCGAAATGTTCTTTTTCGTTTTAAGAAGGCCCCCACCGAATTTTTTACTCGCTTCCGACGGAGACAAAATCAATCGTACGGCGAAGTGACTTAATTAGAATCTCTCGTCCGTTGACGATAAAATACTATGAAGACGTTTACGATCAATACGATGAAGACGTTGACGACGACGATGGCAACAATAACAGCAGCAACGACAGGAAAATACGATACCAACATAAAAAACGCCGACGCCAACGACGATGACGATGACGACTGGCTAGACTACGACAACAGGCTTGTCTCAGCACACGCATTAACAGTAGCTATATATGCGCGCCTGCAAGATGAAATGGCGCGACATGTACAAGTAACGGTCATGGCAGCCAGGGCGGAGTCAATCTTAAGATTTGTGCGTAGGCGCAGTGACGAGGCGACCTCCACGATGTCTGTCTGCATCTTAGGTTAGCAACCGTCTAGCCTTGTCTCTCCTCGGACACGCTGCTGCCGCCAGCATATTAGCCGAGGCCAGACGAGCTTGTCCCGCGTATATGCGAAATGCCGGACTTCGACGATAGTGACGCCGTGGGGAGCGACGAAGCACAGATACATATATAAAAAAAAAACGGGTATACTGTTGTCACGCCGTCATCCTCACCACCACCACCGCCACCATCACCATCATTATCATAATCATCATCATCATTATCGTCATCATCATCATCATCATCATCATCATCATCATCATCATTATCATCCCGAACAACATCTCCACCATCTCTCACACCTCGCTGTTTGAGCGCAACGTTTTACACCACACACCGGAAAAAGCAGATCGCTTCCTATACACAAGTGTTCACATATATTGACTCCATTCAGCATAGGTCACATATATGCATACAGGGTATAATGGCGTCAACCGGCAGCAGGAATATGCGTGTAGTTGAATGAATACCGAGCGCAATCGATCGCAAAATGCTTATGCTTTCACTAAATGAACTCTGACGATGTACGAGTATCAATGCCATCATAGCAAAAAACGCGTCGACGCGCTTTCAATGGCTGAGCATGGAGAGTGAATCTATTTTCTCTGTAAAGCTTCGCGTGGGCCTGCAACTTCCTTACATTTAAACACGGAGTCGCATTACCGTAGGTTAGCTGAAGTAAAAGGTGCGTGTTTTTTTCGCGTAGGAACGTTAGCGCATGCTTTCAGTGGGGGAACGAGCAGGCGCTTGCATTGAATATTGTCGGCGGCTGCTAGGATAACGCGAATGACTTCTGTAGAATTAGGGCTAACGAAAATAACGCATCGTGTACATGTCCGAAAATCCGCGAAGCGGGGCATTGTAGTGGTTTCGGAGAAAATAAAGTGCGATCATCAAGAAAGTGTGGTGCTAAAAGGGATTTATTGTAATAATCAGTTTTTTTTATAATAATAATGTTATTATTATATCGCATACAGGAAAATTGGGATTCCGCACGATGGGTTCATACACGCACAGTTTTTAAGGTTTCGAGGCGGGAAACATGGGATTGCACGAGGCGGGCCTCAACGCCGCGCCTGTAATAGCGAAGCTTGTCTCACATCACATTATTCTCGTATTTGTTTACGTGGAATGCCTCGCGCTTTAGCCGGCTGATCATGATTGGTGCCACATTTCTGGGGCGTCACTCACGCGCTAACCGACGCTACTATTGCTGCATATTCTACTGCTACTACTGCGACTGCTGCCGCCGCTCCTGCATGCTGCTACCGTTGCCGCTGCTCCTGCTGCTTCCGTTGCCGCTGCCGCTGCCACCGCCACCGCTGCCGCCACCACCACCGCCACCGACACCGCCGCCACTACCACTACTACTACTTCTACTACTACTGCCTGCTGCTCCTGCTGTCGTTGCTGCTGCTAGGTTACGTAACTAACACCGCATCTGATCATGGTGTTGTTCCATGATCCAGAAAAATAAATTAATGAAATATAATACACGTAAAATCAACCGTATCACGACTTCTCGGCCGCGATTGACCCGGGGAGGGTCGCTCATTCAATTTGTTCGCACTGATTTCATTGTCGCATAACGACGTCACCATGGGAATACTTGCGGGTGCGTAAATAAACACGTAGGTTTCCATTAAACTGAGTTTTAAACCGAAGATGGGAGGCTAGTGCGCAAGAAAGATAAGGTTGTTGCGCATCTGCGATTGCTTGGTTATCGCCGGTCGAATCTCATATGAGCTCTCATTTAGAATTCTCATCAACGTAAGTGTCAGTCAATTGTTTAACTTTTTATTTCGTGACATTTTAACGAAAAACGTTATCGGGATTATCAATCAATTACATCTATAACTAGAATGCAAACACATGATCCCTTAGGCACGCATGCCATTAATGTGCACAATTACAATTTTGGGATTCTCACACGGGAAACGGGGAAGCCAGTTACAATAATCTATAGACTGTGAAAGAATCGCGGGAAGGAATCCGAATGTTCGTACGACTGTTTGTCTAAATACATTCCACAATGTTCTGCTGCATGATTCGAATAAGTTTATGTGCACACCCTTAGCATCTCTTCTTGTTTGTATCCCTGTTCCTCAACATATACTTCCTGTTTCCTCGTTCCTCAGCTGTTGATATTATCCCTAAACGTGCCCGGCCTGCTTCCTCGTTCCTATGCTGCTCCCCCTGCTCATCCCTATATCGAGTTCAGCGTGATTCATCCGCTTCTGACTACGTACACATCACATCACAGAGCTGCTGGCATCCTGCGTTCGAACCCGTGACCCTCTCCTATACGCATCTCTATATCCCTAGCCCGGTTCTGTCTCTATCCACCGACCCTGGTTATAGTTCTATCTAGCCCCTCACTTCTGTACCACAACGTGCCAGCGTATGACTTTATTTTCTTGTGAACCTATGCTCTAGTGATGTGGAATCTCGCACACTACAGAACGAAGTGCTATTCTCGAGCCTGTTCAGAAATACAAGCACGGTCAATAATAACGCTAAAGAACTAGTTATATTGTGTTCTGTTAAAAATAGTCTAAATAATGCAGTAACGATCACAGGCACTTGGGACAGAGTCAGTAAAAACTGAAAATAATATAAACGCACATTCACAAATACTACCGTACTTCTCAATTACGCTCGTAGGGTCTATGTCCCCCTGACCTCTGTTTGACCTGGCTCGTTTAGCTATTTCTGACTAACCCTAACCCTAACCCTAACCATATATATATTATATATTATGTAAGAATATTCGACGCACTCTTTCGTACGTTTCAAACATTAGCAGAGAATATGCATCGTCACAGTAGACCTTATCTGCTTCAATTACAGTTCCACTGTTGTGTCACGTACTGTATATCAACTTTCCTTCATAAAAACTAACGCCGAACGCTGCCGCACTCGCCGCTGCGAGGTGTGCTGTCGCCATTATAATGATAATATATATATATACTAGAGCACTCGGAGAGCACAGACCTCGCAAGGCAGCTGAATTATCTCAATGTGAAATTTTATTAATTAATTAATTAATTAAGTGGAAAATTTTAATTAATTGGATCCGGATTAGTGCGAGCGTGCAGGTGGGGGAGGACTGTGGTTGCCCCTTAGCCTGTGGTTGCGTGTTTGTAAGACTACAGCCAGCGCACCTAGCGGAAGTGAACTGAAACGTGCATGTTAACAAACCCACAAACCAACACTCAAACACACGCCGGTGAAAACATAACCTCCGCCAAGCCCCTGGAGGAGGTAATAAAGTTTACTGTGGTAACGATACTAGTGTGTTTTTGCTGGATATAAGCGCCTGTAGCCGTTGTTTGAATTGGTTTTTATCTTCGCCATACGGTTGTGTATTTGTGTTGGCGTTCGCAACGCTTCCCACTCGCGTTGGTATTTTTACGTGATTGTTTTATTGGCTCTACATATAGCGTTCCTGCTCGTTGTCATAAAAATACATTATTTTACGTGTTTTTCTCTAAGTGCCTATAATGCCTCTGCGACAGGAAAATGTAACACATACCGCGTGCAAGGAACTCAACACGCATTCTCGCTTGTTAGTAATGTCGGCACGGGACCGTTTCGTATTTTACAGGAGGCGATGAAAATGGCACAGGAGGCAGGGGACCGACCCGTGCAAGCCAAATGTCTGACGTGCTATGCCGACATACACCGAGCGAAAAACGAACCGGAGGTATATGGGCACCCCCCAATTCATGACTCTCGATCATAATTATCTTTAATATACATAGAAGCGAGTCCCGGTTGCAAGGCGGTGTCCAAGTATTTGGCCTTCATAGAGTCGACAAAAGTTCTAAGACGATGAACTCAGTTAGAGATCTGTTTGTTCCTGGCACAATGCCAAATTTCTGTGCAGTCATCGCGTCTCTGTACGTTTCGCGTTGTCTCATGAGCATGGCGACGCAGCGTACAGCAGTGCCGTTGGTGGGTGGGTCGTATTTCAGAAGGCGTATTCCCGCTACGAGGCAGCACTCGGCATCATGACAGAGATCGGTGACCGACATGGACAATGCCTAGTCCTATCCAACATGGCCAAAACACTCGTGTTACTAAAGGAGAGTCAGAAGGTATGCGACTGCCAGGTGCGTGTGCCGTTTTCTACTAACATCTTAATTAATTCTCACATGTGCTTAAAGGGACAGGAGCTGACATGTTATGTAATCTTACTATAGGTTTGGACCCCATCCATCGATGATTACCAGTCCCCATCTTGGGACTTTTCAACGGTCACCTCGAAGCACATGTCTCTATATTTAGCGACGTTGGCAATCGATTTGTCAGTGCGCAAACAAAATACGCAATAATTTTCGCATCCAAAATGTCATTGAGTGAAGCTGGGTACATACATGTACATGTACTGACAACACCAAATCATGTCAGATCCTGTCTATTTAATGTGTGTACTATATCGCCAACCTCAGTACTGTGAACCTGGGTATTGTTTAACCTGATCACGGTAAAGTGAAAACGATGCTGCGTTATTATTAATAAAATCGAGCCAATCCCCAGCTAGCTGCCACCAAAAAGGAAAAAAATCACGCATTAGACAACCTATCTGGCTGGCAGTTCACGTTGGAATGCATGATATATTTGGCAAACTTAGAAGAACTCCTAATTAGGATTTGATTGCTTCTGAGCGCTGGTACAGACAATCATGTGTTCACAAGGCCCAGGTACGCTCTAGTGCTGTGCGTATAATTTCGCATTAATGCGTGTACAATGAGTCAAGTTTACTTGATAGGATTTAAATACTTATATACGCGAGCATTTTCTCAGGTTTCTTTGAAGAATATCAATATCAGTTACTCATCTTTTCATAGTGGATTAACGCACTAATATGCTTCTTGCGGGATTACAGTTGATTAAAGCAGACAAAGTTGGTGATTTCGTATTCTTTACGCGGAGTATTTTCCGATAGACAGGGCGCCAGTGTATTCTTCATGATCTTTGAAGCTAAATGTTTTTAATTTTGCTTCACATTACGAATAGTTTGCTTGATAATAGCGCCGAAATGACAGAGTAGAATACGATTTGTAACCAGACTCTTTCGATGTTGACGATTAGGGTTGGTCTTTCTTCTTCATCGTCTTCTTCTTCTTCTTCTTCTTCTTCTTCTTCTTCTTCTTCTTCTTCTTCTTCTTCTTCTTCTGTTCTCATTTATTATTATTCCTGTTCTTGTTCTTCTTCTCATTGTTCTTCTTGTTATTTTTCTTGTGCTTCTTATTCGTGCTGTTGTTATTGCTGTTACTGTTGTTGTTGTTGTTGTTGTTGTTGTTGTTGTTGTTGTTGTTGCTACTGTTGCAGTTGTTGTTGTTGTTGGTGGTGGTGGTGTTGTTGCTGTTGCTGCTGCTGCTGCTGATGCTTTCTTCATTGTTCTTCATACTCTCCTCTTGTTCTTTATATTGTTGTTGCTGCTGCTGCTGTTGTTGTTGTTGTTGTTGTTGTTGTTGTTTTACTACTACGACTATGACTACGTCTTCGACTACGACTACGACTACGACTACTACTACGACTACGACTACTACTACGGCTACGGCTACGGCTACGGCAACGGCAACGGCTACGGCTACGACTACGACTACGACGACGACGACAACGACTACTACTACTACTACTACTACTACTACTACTACTACTACTACTACTACTACTACTACTACTACTACTACTACTACTACTACTACGACTCCTACTTCTTCTTCTTCTTCTTCTTCTTCTTCTTTTACTACTACTTCTACTACTGCTACTACTACTACTACTACTACTACTACTACTACTACTACTACTACTACTACTACTACTACTACTACTACTACTATACTACTACTACTACTACTACTACTACTACTACTATACTACTACTTCTTCTTCTTCTTCTTCTTCTCATTCTTCCTCTCCCTCTTGTTCTTGTTCTTGTTCTTGTTCTTGTTCTTGTTCTTGCTCTTGTTTTTGTTCTTGCTCTTGCTCTTGTTCTTGTTCTTGCTCTTGTTCTTGTTCTCGTTCTTGCTCTTGTTCTTGTTCTTGCTCTTGTTCTTGTTCTTGTTCTTGCTCTTGCTCTTGTTCTTGTTCTTGCTCTTGTTCTTGTTCTTGCTCTTGCTCTTGTTCTTGTTCTTGTTCTTGCTCTTGTTCTTGTTCTTGTTCTTGTTCTTGTTCTTGTTCTTGCTCTCGTTCTTGTTCTTGTTCTTGCTCTTGTTCTTGTTCTTGCTCTTGCTCTTGTTCTTGTTCTTGTTCTTGCTCTTGTTCTTGTTCTTGTTCTTGTTCTTGTTCTTGTTCTTGCTCTCGTTCTTGTTCTTGTTCTTGCTCTTGTTCTTGTTCTTGCTCTTGCTCTTGTTCTTGTTCTTGTTCTTGCTCTTGTTCTTGTTCTTGTTCTTGTTCTTGTTCTTGTTCTTGCTCTCGCTCTCGTTCTTGTTCTTGTTCTTGCTCCTGTTCTTGTTCTTGCTCTTGCTCTTGTTCTTGTTCTTGTTCTTG